CGATGTGCGCGTGTCCGCGGCTGCAGCCATGTGCAAGGGCGTCCTGTCCACTTAGGTCCGCGCATGCCTGCTGGCGCCTGCTGTGGAGTAGTGACCGTGCTGGGCTGCCAGGGGAGGGGTGATGTTCCACGCTGCAGGAAAATGAGGCTCCCTGAGGACCAGCGCACAGAGGACCAAGCGATACTGGAGGTCCCTGGTACTGGACGTACAGGTGAATTCTAGGGCTGCTGTCCTTGGAGGGAGACTCCGGCTGGGCCGGCAGGACCCAAGAAATTATTTAACTGAAAAAAGTGATAGGTGAACGGGCCAGTAAACACACCAACAATAAATACGCGCCAAGTACAATGGATTTAAATGAGGAGGGTTTACTGGGTAAATTCCGATTCCCTAAAGGACGCGCCTTCAGCCGGGATTAGAAGAAGGTACAGCAGACAGGCCAGAGCGTCCTGAGTCAGGGGTGAGAGGAAGGGGTACTGCATGGGGCAAGGGCAGACTAGAGTGAAGTCCTTGCACTCGGTGTTAATTTACTGGCTGGAATAAGTTTGTCACATTAAAACAAAGCAAAAAGATGCAAATTTAGCAATGATGAGTTCAACAGCAATAAGTTAGGTTATCAGGCCTCCCTGGGGGCCTGGGGGTCAAGTCTCAGGCCATCCCCACTGTGGCCTGAGTCCACGGCCAGGGGGTGACCCCAGGGGCACAGCAGACCCCTCCTGTCTTCCTGCTGCTCCCTCAGTGTTTTCAGTGGACCTGCTCCCACTCAGTCTCTGGGGAGTCCTCTTACCCGCCCACCTCTGGCCTGCACCCCAGTTCTTGTACAGAAGGGTCAGTCTACCACCTGAAAGTCTGTCTCTCGGGAGTCCCCGTCGGCACCACTCTGGCCAGCCCCCTGTGCAGTCTTTGTGCCATGCAGCTGCTTCACGCTTGTTTCATGTATTCTCTGCTTTTCATCTGTTCAGCCTCTGCCTGCCTGGATTCATTCTCACATTCTCTTTTCAGGTCTATTTATAGAAAGGCAAACCTCATAGGTTCCTTTTTCTTGAACTGCGAAGAACCTGCTGACCTCTAAAGTTAGAAGTGAGTCACCCCACAGAGGCTAGCGTCCACTAAATCGTCACAGGCAGGCGATGCTCACAAAGGCGTGCGACCCAGGCCCTGGCCTGCCCCTGCTCCCCACGCCGCAGCCGAGGCTGGGAAATCCCGCCTTCCTCTCCAGTGCTTGTAGCAGTGTAAAGGGACAAAATGGCCAGACTACTGCTTATGAGCCAGACACTGTAGAGAACAGCAAAAAGGGATTTATCATCTGAGGAATGCACTCCTACTCCACTGATTTTATTTAACGTCTAGCTAACTACAGAAGCCCACCACCCAGGCACACTCCAGGAATTCAGCCTTAGGAAATGCTCCAAAGGCATTAGGGAAAACGGCAAGTGTGTGACACCTTACAACTAGCACTGCATGTCCTCAGGAGACTCTTCCAATTTGGAAACTAAAAGAAAAAGAAAACCACATATTCAGATGAGACAGGAAGACCTCTTGCGGGAGGAGGAGGCTGAAGGGAGCGAGGCAACCAAGAAGCGGCTTAGCCCGGAGACGGGCAGAGGCGGCCACTGCCGCCGGCCGACAGGGCGCTTACCCAGCCCGTGGTGAACGGGGCCCCGCTGGCCATCAGCGTTCTCACTTCTTCATCTTGGCCTTTTCTTGCTGCTTCTGGCAACCCCTTCCGCAAGTCCACCAAGACATCTTCATGCATAGGAACAAAAGTAACTCACACACAAGGAGAGCTGCCGGTGAATGTTCCCGGGACCCTCGCTCGCAGGGCGGGCGGCGGGCGGCCTCCCGGGCCGTCTGGGCACCTGGCCGCGGCCGGGCGTAAGGACCTGCTCCGGTCCGGTCGCCAGAGGGGAGCGCTGGGGAGGGCGCCAGCCACCGTCCAGCTTAGGGTAAAGAGCGTTTCATCCTTGGGAGCGACCTCTGCGGGCAGCTACATTACGTGGGAAAGGCCCAACAAGGCCGCCGAGACGCCAGGACGCGCGGCCCCGGTGCAGAGACGCGGGTACCTGTGCCCGCCACAAGTCAGCTGAGAGCACCGGCTGACAGCTGTCGGGCACATTTGAGCTTTCAGGTAAAAATGAGAATTTCAGGAAATCTATGTCCAAGGCGGAGCGGAGGGCGGGCGCCTTCTGTAGGGTGGAGTCCGGAATCCACAGGGCTGCGGCGCAGGGAACCCTGCAGCCATTCGCCTTCAAATGCCGGTAACTACTACTGCTGGTAACATTTACCAATAATGCCCAAAAATGGGTTTCCACGGCCCAGAGAACCGGACACTTTGTTCACCGACAAGTTTTCTGACTCGTCATGGCAACAAACTTCGGAAACCGGCGCTCAGGAGTGTCTGCGAGGCCGCAGACTCCCAGATGCCAGAAACAGCTACTTAACACAGCCCCTTCTCCGGGCGCAGACCTCCACTTCGCCCCTCCACTTCGTAACTTAGGAAACATTTGTGATCGAAATGCGCTCTGACACATACTAGGTTTATTGGTGCATTTCGGCTGAAGAACAGTAAGAGCTACCTTGTGGAATCATCACCACCAGAGGCAACATCCGGGGAGCCTCAGGACTTTTTAAGGTGCTAGGTCAATTCTGGGCCCAGCTGCGGCAGGGACGCGGTGCGCAAACCCGGGTGCGCAGGAGACCCCGGGCAGTTACTATTCCGGGGCTGCGGGGGGCACAGCGGTGGACCCCGGCCCGGAGGGACTCTCCCGTCCCGCTGCCCCTCCGCAGTGGGTGGCAGTGGGTGCCCTCTGGCTCTGGGGAGTCCCCCGTCCCACCTCTGGCCTGCACCCCGGCTGTGCATCGACGACTAGCGGCACAAACACACCGAGGCTCAGCGGGCGTCTCGGGACGGGACGCGCTCGCGCGCTCGACCCCGCAGCGCCGTCGGGCGGTC